TTTACATTGTAGATTCTCACTGAAGGCATCAAAACTATGAATGAACACATGTGGAGTTATGTACTTAACAAAAAAAGGTGAAATAACTGAAAACATGTTTTATATTCTAGTTTCTTCAAAATAGCCACCCTTTGCTCTGATTACTGCTTTGCACACTCAGCCTGCATGCATGTGTTTTTTAGCTGAACATTATTGAAACAAATCAGCTAATGTTGCTGTAGTGAAAACATTGCGGAGTGAGATACCTGGCCAGGCAGGTAACGTTTTGTCATGTTTTATCTCATAACAGCATTGATTACATATGGCATGTGCTCTCTCTGTTGACCTGTATTTTCTCAGAAATTGAAAATATGTCCACACTGCTGATTTATTTCCAAGCAAATAACATTATCATCATCCACTTTCTTTTAGCTGCTTTCCATTATCTGTTTAACAGTGACACAGAATTTCAAAATAAAGACGTAACCTGAAGATGATGATACAGATAGCTATTTTCACTTTGCATCAATGATACTGCATAGTTGATGATTAAATTAACATATGAATCTAGATCAATGGATAGTTAGACCCCTATTATTCAATTTGTAAATTGTCAGAGAATGAAAAATATAAAATCATCTGATGTCATCTGAATTCATCCATGTAATTCATATGGTCTAAAACTGCCCAACAGAATGAGTTAACATGAACAACTTTACCCCAAATTCAAAAACTAGAGTGCTAAAACTCTAATTTGTGATGTCATAGGTTATTAAGTCTGGAACTGGTATATTCTTTGTTTAAAGGAGACCTATTATGCTTACTTTCAGGGTTATGTAATATTGGGGATTTATGTGCTTTACTGTTCAGAACACATTATTTGTCTTGGACTGCTGATTGCTGCAGCACCTCTGTCTGAAACGCTGTGTTTGGGCTTATGTTCCGGCCTCCCCAGCAGCCCAGTCTGCTCTGATTGGTCAGCTCGCTCAGTCTGTTGTGACTTAGAGTGTCTATCTGAAATGTCACACCCCTTACCCTATCTGAATTCACCTCCAGAGGCTGCCGCAAAACAACAAGCTGTGGCTGAGCTAACGACGATGGCCGTCCACCATTATCAATATCAAACACGAGCCGATAGACTCCGAAGCACTTTTGCGACAAACACTGGAGCAGGACATTTAACAGTGGTAAGTTTTTATTTTGTTGCCGTCTTATATTAAAGCTATAACATGATAACTGTAACTTATCTGACATTATGGTAACAACTGTATGTCTGTCCTCTGACTGAATGAAGTTGGAAACGTCTGCTGCAGAGTACAAAAGGTTTCTAACAGTGTAGTCAGTTACTACATAACGTGGAAACACCAACAGCAGCACTCAGCTGTTACATGACGTGGTGTAAAGAATGAATCCTTTTTTTACCAAAGCAGGCTTATCTATGATCAGACTAATGTAGCTTGTATTGGGTAATAATACCAAAGTTATTATAAATTCTGTTACTAACACATTCTCTGTTAAAACCACAAAAGTTTTAACCCCTGAATTCATCAATTTTACCACAGCAGATTGAGATGACAGATTTCTGTATTATACAACAACAAATGAATAGATCAATGTTTTTTCCATGCAGTGATGTTGTCTCCTGAGTCTTTATTTGCTTACTTATAAAACAGTATGCCTTGTGTATTTTTTACCTATTAGGTTTTAGGTAATGGACCAGATTCCAGTTCATCCTACATGTTTGATACACCATCCAGGCCTGGAGCCTGACTGTTTGAGTATGTTTTTATGACATGTATTGAGATAAAACTGTGTAAACTAAATTCTGAACACTAAGGTTTCATTATACCAAAGAACCCACTTGTCTTTTGTCAAAAGAACTTTATTTTTTAGCAAATGTAAAAAACATAAACTACAGAAAAATACTAATTAATATACACTAGACAGATGGATAACACAGCAGCATTTTATCTGCAATACTAATAGTGTCCAGTTCTTTCCATTCAGGCGTCCATCCCGTCCTGTGTTGGATACGCCAGGAGTTTCCTGATCCGGCTGGTCACTGTGTTGGCCTCCAGTTGCCCCTTGGCTGAAGAGACGTGTAAGGCAACCACTTCCTCCTTTGAGGGTCTCTCATACTGGGATGCCAGGTCCTTTGGGATGGGGATTTTGGGGAAGACGAGCCTCATCAGGTCATCTACAGTCTGTAAAGTATTGAATTTAAATATTGATTTCCTTGTGTTTTTAATTTAAGTGCTTCCCTGAATCCACCTTTCTTGTATATATTTCAAGTGTTGCCACAACTATTTCATATTTTTTATCTGATGGTATTATGTTAGTAGTAAAAATAAAATTTACAAATTACTGCATGTAGGGTCTGTTTTTACAGCCTTTGCTGAGGGTAAAACTAAGCTAAAAGAATACATTTTTGCTCAGATTCCTCTGTAATAACATAGTCACCGGGGTTATATGTTGAGTCATGAAGGTCTCCTAGCTCTGTTTAAGTTTCTCCCTCTTTCTCCTTCAACTCAACACGAGGTCTCGTACTTGGTCTGAAAACTATGCCCTTTATAAATGTTGATGACAGCCAAAAGTCCAAATGAAAAAAAAAAGTATATGTGTCTATATATATAGTAATGTGGGTGCCATTTAAGGTCTCGATGGCAGGATAGTCAAGAGTCGCTAGTGGTGGAAGTGGAGTATTTCTTTTTTTTCTGCATTTAAAACTAGTCTGTGGCATCAAAGGCAGTCTGTAGATGAGTCAGGGCTTGGGATGAGGTAGAACCGGGGGCATATAAGATACAATCATTAAAATATTGATTTGGGAGAATTATGTTATTAATGTATAATGTAAATAGCAATGGTCCAAGGATAGACCCCTGCGGCACCCCGTTTCTGATAGTGAGTGGACTTGATTGAGCGACAACAGTCTGAGTTCTGTCAGTGAGGTTAAAAGTGGAACAAGTTGAGTAAAGAAATATCTAAGCCTATGGACTGTAATTTATGAAGTAGAATTTTATGAGCAACAGTACCAAATGCTTTTGAGAGGTCAATGAAATGAGCAGCACAAAACTGTTATTATCCAGGGAGGAGACAATGTTATCTATGACTGAAACTGCAGCTGTAATTGTGCAGTGACCCGGGCGAAATCCAGACTGTTGTGGCTGAAGTAAGTTTGATGAGTCGATAAAATAGCGTAGTTGATAATTGACCAATAATTCCAGGATTTTTGCTAAGAGGGGAAGTTTGGATATTGGACGGTAGTTATTGAGGTCAGAGATGTCACCATTTTTATGTAGGGGAGTTACAAATGCACTTTTCCAAGAAGGTGGAATGATGCCAGTTAAAAAGGTTTGGTTAAAAATGTGAGCTAAATGTGGACTGATTAAATGGGCCGTTAGATTTAGAAGATATGGCTCAAGATTATCTGCACCAGCATTTTTGGAAGCCTTTGACCTACGTAGAGCTTTGAGAACATCTGTACTACTTACTCAAGTAAAAGAAAATTTAGGGTGAGAAAAGGTTTGTGAATTAAGGACTCCCTCTGGTGGATAGTTATGGCAAGTGTTTACAGTTTGATTTACAGACAAATTACTATATAAAAGATCAGACGAGAGGAAGTGATTATTGAAAGTTTCAACCATGGATGATTTATCAGAAATATGACCAGATGCTTGTTTGATTTGTGGAGGGTGATGAATTTTTAAGAGATGCTATGGTTTTCCAGAATTTAGCAGTCATCAGAGGCAGAGAGAGCTGAGAGATAATAATTAGATTTGGCCTTTCTGATCATGCTGGTGCAGATATTTCTTTTTTGCCTAAATAACAACCAGTCTTCAGGGGTGCCGCTGGATCTAGCCTTGGACCAGGGTTTATCTCTGCTAGTGATGACATTGGAAAGTTGTGGGGAGAACCAGGGACTGTATCTGTTTTTTATTTTGTGTTTTTTGTAAGGGGCATGTCTGTCAGCAATAATGTTAAAAGAATATGAGAAATGTTCCAGTGCCTCAGCAGGGTCGGTAATAGAGAAGATGTCATTTATGTTTGAGATGGATAAATCATTTAGGAAATTCTGGAGATTAAAATGTTTGTAATTTCTTGTGGTGATATGTTGAGAATGAGATTTAGGAATTTTGGTGTTTCTGATACAGGCAATGGGACAGTGATCACTGATGTCAAGAGGAAGAACTCCAGAAGCAGGGTAATTGTGTGGTCTGTTTGTAAGAATAATGTCAATTAAAGTGGAATTGAGTGGATTTTTTTTAGATTTGGTCTGGTGGGTTTGACTATAAGTTGAGTGAAGTTGAGCTCAAGGCACAATTCTTTTAATCTGTTCAGAGAGCCAGTCCAGGTTTAGATCTCCCATAACTATTAATTCTGAGGAGGCGTACTTAGAAATGATCTTACCAATGTCATCCAGAGCATCAACATGAGCAGAGGGGGGGTGATAAATACCAGTAATGATAACATGAGTGTCTTCACCAAAACATAAATCCAGTGCAATATATTCACATTTTTTGGGTACAGAGGATGATGACAGTTTGTGAATAGTGAGACAGTCATAAATTAGAACTCCCCCTCCCTTGCTTTTACGGTCACATCTGAAAATAATATAACCATTGATAATTATGTTGTTATTTTATATCTTGGAGGAGAGCCATGTTAATATAATCCATTTTTGGGAGCAGGCTTCTGATATTCAGATGTAGTAGACCGAGGCCGTGACGTGGTTTAAAGTCCTGAGATGTTACAAGTGTAGTATGGTCTGCAGTGGTAGCAACGGGTGAACAA